TTTCAACCTACTTGAACTTGTAGAGCTTTAGTTTGTGTCCTAACGTGTGGTCTGTCTTTGAGAATGTCCCATGTGCACTTGAGAAGAATGTGAATTCTGTAGTTTTGGGGTGTAATTCTCTGTAGATATCTATTAAATCCATTTGGTTTAGTGCTTCATATAGAGTCTCTGTTTCCTTGCTAATTTTTTGTCTAGAGCATCTATCCAGTGGTGTCAATTGGGGGTTGAAGTCCCCTGCTATGATTTTATTGCTATCGATTTCTCCTTTGAAGTCTTCCAGAAGATTTTTAATATATTTTGGTGCTTCTATATTGGGTGCATATATGTTTATCAAGGTTATATCTTCCTTTTGGATAGATCCTTTCAATATTATGTAGTGGCATTCTTTGTTTCTAGTTATGGTCTTTATTTTGAAATCTATTTTATCAGATATGATGAGTATTGCTACCCCAGCTGTTTTTTTTTTTGCTTTCCGTTTGCTTAGAAAATTTTTTCCATCCCTTCACTTTCAGCCTATGTGAGTCTTTTGTTTTGAGGTGGGTCTCTTGTAAACAACATATAGATGAGTCATGCTTTTTATCCAGTCAGCTATTGTGTGTCTTTTTATCGAAGCATTCAATTCATTTACATTTAAGGTGATTATTCATACGTACTTATGTATTGCTATTTTTGTTTAGTTTGGTTATACTTTTCTTCCTATTTCTTCTACTAATTACAGCAGTCCTTTTAACATTTCTTGCAGTGCTGGTTTGGTGCTAATGTATTCCCTTATCCTTTTTTTTTGTCTGGGAAGCTCTTTATTTGACCTTCTATTTTGAATGTCAGCCTTGCTGGGTAGAGTAGTCTTGGATTCAGATCCTTGTTTTTCGTGACCTTGATTACTTCATCCCATTGCCTACTGGCCTGTAGTGTTTCTTGTGAGAAGTCAGCTGAGAGCCTTATGGGGGTTCCTTTGTAGGTAACCTGTTGCTTATTTCTTGCTGCTTTTAGGATTCTCTCTTTGTCTTTAATTTTTGGCATTTTAATTTTATGTGTCTTGGTGTGGGCCTGTTTGGATCCTTCTTACTTGGGGCTCTCTGTTCTTCTTGAACTTGAATGCCTTCTTCCTTCACCAAATTAGGGATGTTTTCTGTCACTATTTCTTTGAATACATTCTCTAACCCTTTCTCATCTTCTTCTTCGGGGACTCCTATGATGCGAATATTATTACGTTTCCAGTTGTCCCACAGTTCTTTAAGCTGTCTTCCTGTTTTTTAATAGTTTTTTCCTTTTGGTTTTCTGATTGGTTGATTTTCTCTACCCTGTCTTCTAATTCACTGAACTGGTCCTCAGCTTCCTGTGTTCTGCTGTTTAGTCCTTCCAGTGTGTTCTTTATTTCTCATATGTCAATCTTGATCTCTTCTTGGTGGTTATTAATTCCCAATTGGTTTATTTTCAGCTTCTGTGTGTCCTTACTCATACTGTTGAGCTTCCTAAAGATCATGGCTCTGAATTCTAGCTCTGTTAATTTGCCTAACTGCTCCACATTGATCTCATCTTTGTGGAGGTCTCTTCTTCTTTCATTTGGCTTTTGTTTCTGTGTTTCTCCATTTTGGCTATCACAGTGGGGTTTGGTGCCTGCCAAGTTTTTCCTGTGGGTATTGGTGTTCTGCTGTTTGTGGCTCTCTCTCCTGGGTTTAGATGAGTGAGGGAAGACTCACGTTAAACACCACTGTCAAGTCTTACTTTCCTGGTTAGAGTTGATAGCCCATGAATGGTACTGTTATCCTCTATCTTTTTGCCTGGAGGCTAGCAGTCCAGGTTACTTGAAGAGTTTCGGGTTGTTAGTTGATTGAAACCCTTCCTCAGGTGCTCAGCATAAGGAGATTTTCGGCGGATGGGGCAGTTACTGGTTGTTAGTGAGCCTCAATTAGCATTTCAGTGGTCCACAGGGTTGGATTGAATGTCTGAGGGAGGGTCTGCTGCCTCTCCCTAGAGCCCTGGAATGGATCAATATGGCCACCGTCCTGCGTGGCCTCAACTCCGCCAAAGCTCTGAGCGCCCTCCAAATCCCGAGTGTCCCCACACAGTTCCAGTTTAGTCTGTCCTCTCTCTACCAGAGCCCAAGGTGAGTTGTTGTGGCTATTTTATCCTTTGTCCCCGCTCTGCGCTGTGGAGCTTCCGGGAGTTTATCCTGAGGGCGCTGGTCACAGTGGGCTCCGACTGTGGGCTCCCAACCCCATCTAGCGCCTTCGCAATCCTACCAGGATTGAGTCAGTCTCCCTGGTTATATGGTCCTCGCAAGCTGCTTTTCTGTTGCTTTTTCCCATCGATTTGTCTGTGTTCTAGTTGTAATTCCAGTTTGGTCCTGGGAGATGGTCTGTGTAGCTTCCATTCACTCTGCCGCCATTTTGGAATCTCTCCTAAATTGGACTCTTAACGATACTTTCCTTAGTGATTGTTAATGAAGCCCAAATGAGGTTATCACTTTTTGCTTCAGCAAGGTGAACTGAATAACATTCTGATGTTTCCATGAAAAAGTGCTCTTTCTTTGAAAGGTATGACTCTGAAATGATCCTATAATGAGGAAATCAGGTGCAATGACATTGTGTGTTTCTAACTGATCTCAAAGAGCAGAGAGAACATTTGTAGTCACAGGAACAAATAATTTTTCCTTAATTTTTAATTACTTAATAAACCTCTGTTTATTTTGTAATCTATCCCTCATCCCCCTTTAATATATTTTTATTTCATTTATTTATTTATTTTAATGGAATTTATTGGGTTGACATTGGTTCATAAAACCATACAGGTTTCAAGTGTATAACTCCATAAAATATCCCCTGCACACTGCCTTGTGTGCCCATTGCCCCAAGCAAAGTCTCTTTTTGTCCCCATTTCCCTCCCCTTTGCCCACCTTCACCTAGCCCCCACCCCCTTTCCCTCTGGCTGTCACTACACTATTGTCTGTGTCTATGTGAGATTTTATATATGTATATATGTTTTGACTAATCCCTTCACTTTCTTTCATCTAGTCTCCTCATCCCCCTCCCCTCTGACAGCTGCCATCCCTATTTAAAGATACTTTGCCTTAGAATCTGGAAAGTGTGCCTGATGAAAGTTCTTGGGGTTAAAAATGAAATATCTCTGAGTTTAAAGGAGTAGATATAGAACAGAGAGTTGGAAAATGTATTTTCTTAATTGTTCATTTTATTCTTTGTTCTGGCCTTATAAGACTTTAATTTGGGGACTAAATCATTACTGCCATGTATCATGTTAATAACATTCTGATAGGGAAAACAACAATTCCTGTTTAATTGTTATTAAAAATGGGGCAGCCCTGGCCAGTTTGGCTCAGCGGTTAGAGCGTCAGCCTGCGGTCCGGAGAGACTCAGGTTCAGTTCCCGCTAAGGGCACGTACCTCGGTTGCAGTTTGTCCCCAGCCCTGGTTGGGTCGTGTGGGTGGCAGCCACTCGATGTGTTCCGTTTACGTCGATGTTTCTCTCTCTGTCTCTCCCTCCCATTCTATCTGAACAAAATATCAAAAAATGTCCTCGGGTGAGGATAAAAAAAAATGAGAAAAAAATAAATAAATAAATAAATAAATAAATAAATAAATAAATAAATAAAAATGGGCCATATAATACCTTTTAAGATACTTTGAGGGAAACAAGTCAGTTTTGGTTATTATTATCTGTTAAGTTTTAGTGTGTCAAAACAAAGCCCAGGCCTCTTATGTTCAGACTGAGAAGTAACGAAGCAGTTTTCTAATATGATTATCTCATAGATGTGTTTCTAATTGCAGTGCATCACTGCATAATTTGGAAAATGTTCTGATACTTACATGTGATGGACCGCATTCAGTGACTTTTTTAGGCTTTAATTACTAACATACTGAATCAAAGTCTTTTTTATGCCTTGCTTTTGAGGAGTTGGGAAATGGGAGAAAATGGAGAACATCAGTAATGCTCATAACAATAAAAATCAATAAAGTTACACACTGAAAAAAATAAAGAGGCCCTGGCCGATTTGGCTCAGAGTTTGGAGCATCGGCCTGCGGTCCAGAGAGACCTGGGTTCGGTTCCTGCTAAGGGCACATACTTCTGTTGCAGCTTGTCCCAGCCCTGGTTGGGTTGTGCAGGTGGCAGCCACTCGATGTGTCCCTTTCATGTCGATGTTTCTCTCTCTCTCTTCTTCTCTCTCCACGCTCTGTAGGAATAAAAAATGGAAAAATGTCCTCCGGTGAGGATAAAAAAAAATAAAGAAAGAAAGAAAAAGTCATTTTATTATGAACCACTTCATCACTAATAGTATGAGAATGATGCAGATATCTGTATTTAGTTATTAGTGCCAGAGCAAACTTGATTTCTATGGTGCTGATCATTGATGTCTACAGTTCATTTTTATTCATAAAAATAGAATTTATGTTAAGTTAATGATCTAACAAATAATTTACTCTGTTGCCTTTAGTAGTAGGACTATGATAGTATGTAGATATCATACAGATAAGTCAAGATTGATTATTTTCCTTTGTTCAGGACAAACTTTTCAGAGAAAGCATTGTTGGATGTGTTACTTTTATAATAAAGGAAATGGATTTTCATGATAGGTTGGTTTATTAAGGTTTTATTTCCTAAATTGATGAAAGACTAAGTAAAAATCTTATCAAATCTTATTTCATTTAAAAGCATAAAACACTTGCCCTGGCTGTTTTGGCTCAGTGGTTGGAATGTCAGCCTGCGGACGAGAGAGTCCTGTGTTTGGTTCCCGCTAGGGGCATGTACCAAAAAAAAAAAAAAAAAAAGACACAAAAAAATCCTCATAAAACACTTTATAGAATTCAGCATTTTTCTGTGTGCTGTTTGTGAAACTGTCTATTTTTTAAGATAAGTTGAATTTCTCAGCAATATCAGTTTTACTTTCTGCTTTACTGATCCTTATATTCTGTAAAGACTAAAAAATATAGAGAGTTCCTAATTGTTATAATACCCATCACAAAATCAAACTTTGTTTATATTTAGATTGAGTATGAGACTCAAATTAAGAAGATGCAGCTACTGTCAGAAGATAGCCTGGGAATAAAAGGTGAACTGAAAAATGAAGACAGAGAAAAGGTAATAAATTAAAATGATAAACTTTCTGTTAACAGAGGACTTTTGGAGTGTTCATTTTCTAAGATATTATTTTTTTAAATCATCTTATTGCAAAGATATTTTTTATTAAAACTTAAGTGGTTATTTGAAGACTTTTGCTTATAGCATATTGCTTTAATGTCTAATTCAATTAAATTTGCTGAGAGGCACGCACTGTGGGTATAAAACAGATAGATTCCCAAGAAAACTTCAATGTTGTTAGGTGAACTTGTGTTTTTCTCGATAATATTTTATAGCTGCTTTTTTCTTACTTCCAGAAATACTTTAATTGAAAAAGTATACAAAATGTGACATTTTGCGTACACACACACACACACACACACATATATATATAATTTTGTACATTTTAACCTTTTCACAGATAAAGTGGAAAGAAAGGATTGCATATCTAAGCAGCAGACAAAAAGACTGGAAAGGAATACTTAAATAAATTCTGCTATGTATCTGCCATAATGCAGGCTTCTAATCCTCCTGCCTATCTCCATATAAATGATTCTGTTCAAGACCATAGATGTTTTCTTCACTAAAAGCAGTAAAGCTCTTTTAGATGAAATGTCTAAAAACATCTTGTAATAACTTGGAGCATGCTGGCAAGAGTAGTCACTTGTGACTATGTGTGAAACCTCCTTAGCCAGTTGATATTGTAATAAGCAAAAATGGTAGCATCACTCCATTATTCAGAAAAGCCAACAGCATGCTTGTTCCTTAGGCTGCAGCATTCATTAAGAAAAGCTTACTGGGCTGAAAGCTGGAAACAGATGATAACGGGATATGATTTTCATATTTAATGCTTTCCTTGGAAGAGTATGTGTGCTACAGATTGATAGAAGAATCAACTGCTACTTTACTAAAAGACTTTCAGGTTTGCCCTATAGCTACCGATGGAATCATTCAGCCAAGAAATTAACTTTTTCTTCTTTTACCTGCTTTATATATCTGCTAAGCAGGCTGCCTGGCTGCCTGTAAATGTTATTATGCAGTTAACTGTTTGGTATTTAAGACTCTTATCAGAAAAGAAACAGAGGCCACACTATTTTGTTTTTATAGTAGGAGGAAGGTTTTAGTTTTTCTTTTTATTTCCGTGCATTAGCAGGCATTAATCTGAGTTTATAGGAAGTTTTAGTTTCCTTCCCAAAGATTAAAAAGTTAAAAAAATCTAGAATTTAGAGCATTTTTTAAACTGTAAGACACACAACACCAAGCTCCAGCAACCTTGACCTATATAAAAAGACCTTTAATGATAAATGATTCCTGTGCTATTAGATGTATGCCAAATGTGGTGTGATGTGATAGACTTATAAACCATTTAGGCAGTTTTTGTGTTTGACATTGATGTGTTTTTAATCTATAACTTGGTTTGTTCTTCCTGTGCTGTTCCTGACAGACACATTTTTAGTACAGCAGTGTCAATGGTACTTAAGTACAACAGGAGACTTTTTTATTCTTATTTGCACCATTGATTCCTTACCTTACATATAGTTATGTAGTCTCCTTTTAAGCCATATTTAAATTAGGGCAGAGGCACATCACTGACAACTCCTTAAAATATTACACATAATAATTAGAAGAAAAGTCTTTCCTTTATACTGAAAAGTATCATCTCCTTAAAAGCTTTGTTGAATCAATCAGGTAACATTTTGAGAAATTTATATCTTGACTTTCTCAGTTTCCCATTGAAGTTCCGTAAATTAAAAGGTAAATACATTTCAGCAAAATCATGAATACGTTAATCCTTATTAACTAATACAAATTCCAGGATAATTCCTTATCATATAAGTTGTGTTTTATTTTTCAGTGGAAACCTGTGCTCCTCTTTTGTATTTTATTTTATGTTTGTCCCCACCCGAGGATATTTTTCCATTGATAGTGTTTTTTTTTTAGGTAGAGTGGAAGGGAGGAAAGGAGAGAGAGAGAAACATTGGTGTGAGAGAGACACATCAATTGGTTGCCTCCTGCATGGCCCCTGCAGGGATCAAATCTGCAACCCAGGTACGTGCCATTGAGCAGAATTAAACCTACCACCCCTTTGGTCCATGGGCTGATGCTCTAACTGCTGAGTCAAACCAGTCAGGGCTGTGCTTCTCTTCTTTAGGCAGTCGAATGAATTAGTCTATGGGCCCAAAGTTGTTGGTCTCCAGGGACTGGCCTGAAGCATAGTACAGTTTCACTGGTTGAAGTCAGTAAATAGTTTTGAGCAAGTGTTCTGTTTGAGAAGCCACACTAGGCTCTTCTGTGAATGCGACTATCCTTGCCTGGGGTGCTTTCCACAAAGTGCTATTCTTTGTAAGGCAAGGGATAGTGTATGATATGTGCCAGTTACCTGGGGCAGACATGAGCTACATGGAGAAAGAACATATTTCTTCTCTGAAATGAATGATACATAGCTTGGTAGAGGAGATGATGTTTGAACTGCTGGCATGAAGAATGGATAGATAGGGTGTCAGTCATTGGGGATGTGATAGACATTCCAGGGTTAGGAGATGTGGGTAAAGGAGTAGGAAAGCCAAGTGGGTAGTTTTTGAGTCTGGCTAAAGTCTAGCTAGTGTTTTTATAGGGAAATGGTGACAATTAACTTGGAAAGGTACATCATGGAACTTAGCACCAGGCTCAGAATTAAGATTTACTCTTGGAATCATGTGTGTGTGTGTGTGTGTGTGTGTAGGGTGAGGGGGGGGTGTAGGTGAAGAAAGGATTTGTGAACAGAGCAGCTACATCGCAGGTTTGCAGCATAGGAAAATGAGGCTGGCAGTGCTGTGCAGGATGAGCTGGAAGAAGGAGCTCGTGGAGCTGAGGAAATCAGGGTCAGTTCAGATAGATAGAATTAACCAAAGGCCTGAATTGGGGTGGCCATTGAAGTGGAAAACATAAATGAAGGGGAGAGGATCTATTGGTTTGATGATAATTCAGAATTATAAAAAATTATTTTTTAAAAAGTGGTTGTGCAACTTTTTCAAAGTAAAGCTCTACTTCAGTTTTGTAAAAAGACATGCAATGTTTTCATAAATCTTAGTGGCTACTCTTCAGAACCATGTATTCTCTTAAGTGGCCTATTCATCCCCTAAGCTTGTTTCCAGTATTAGTTTGTTAGCAAATTTTTGTTGTTAATGGATAGCAAAAAGAGAATGTTCAGGTCCCTATTTGACACTTCACAGATTTTTCTATAATTTAGTAATATTTCTCTTCTGTTATACATTGTCATTTTTTATCTTAAGGTAAAGTCTAATTCTGTTGTTCTCTAGGCATGTTCTTCTGGTTGCTCAGTTTTTTTGTATCATCAGTGACTGCATAAAAACACATCAAAACATAGGTACCCAAGAGAAATGGAGATGGCATTTGTGAATGAGAGTATAAATTTTGGGGTGGGGTTGTCAAGTTTCTTTGAACTATAATACTGTGAAATATATTCTACTAAAAGCAGACGTGAACTTAATACATCACAGGGAGATTATACTCTGCCAGGGCTTGAGGACCTGGGAAATTCATCACAGAGGTAAAGGCTGGTTGGGGAGTTCCACTTCCACTGTTGTAAACCTTTCTGTAAGGGCCATGTGGAGAATGGTTGTGCATGTCGTTACTTCCACTTCTAATAAGAATAGTAACAGTGGTCTGGCCGGTGTGGCTCAGTGGTTGAGCATCGACCCATGCACCAAGAGGTCGCCAGTTCGACTTCTGGTCAGGGCACATGCCCAGGTTGTGGGCCTGATCCCCAGTGTGGGGCATACAGGAGGCGGCCAATCAATGTTCTCTCTCATCGGTGTTTCTATCTCTCTCTCCCTCTCCCTTCCTCTCTCTAAAAAACCAATAAAGAAAAAAAAAATTAAAAAAAGGAATAGTAATGATTGGTAATTATCATTGCAGAGTTGTTCTGTGTCATGTGCTGCATTAAACTCTTTAAATTCATCAACACATTTCTGCAGTCCTGTAAGTAGATACAATTGTTCATTTTATAGGAAGGTTTAGAGAGGTTAGTTAACTTGCTCAAGACTATACAGCTAGGCAGAGTCAAAATTCAAACTAGATCATGTGATTTCAGCATCTATGTTAATAGCTATCTTGTGACACTGCCTTCTAAGGTAGTATGGTGAAATGCTCTTCAAAAGTTGGGACAAATTCTGGTCAGATAAAACAGCTTAACCACATCATATGAAATATTTCAGTTGTTCATTTGGATGCTGCATTTTTACCTAAACTTGTAGAGGTTGAAGTGGTCTTTCTCGGGTACTGCAGCAGCTGCCACCAATTCTGGATCCAGTGCCATGTGCCACTGATGCCCACCCACCATGCACTCCTGATTTTCTTTGGTTGTAAGTCCAGTATGGCAACTCTCAAGGACCAGCTGATTGTGAATCTTCTTAAGGAAGAACAAAGCCCCCAGAATAAGATTGCAGTCATTGTGGTTGGTGCTATTGGCATGGTCTTTGCCATTAGTATCTAAATGAAGATCTTGGCAGATGAATTTGCTCTTGTTTATATCTTGAAAGACAAATTGAAGGGAGAGCTGATGGATCTCTGACTTGGGAGCCTATTTCTTACAACACCAAAAATTGTCTCTGGCAAAGACTATAATGTGACTGCATACTCCAAACTGGTTATTATCACAGCTGGGGCATGTCAACAAGAGGGAGAAAGCCACTTTAATTTGGTCCAGAGTAGTGTGAACATCTTTAAATTCATCATTCCTAATGTTGTAAAATATACTCCCAACTTCAAGTTGCATATCATTTCCAATCCAGTGGATATCTTAACCTATGTGGCTTGGAAGATAAATGACTTTCCCAAAGACCATGTTCCTGGAAGTGGTTGCCATCTGGATTCAGCTCTGTTTTGTTACCTAATGGGAGAAAGTCTGGGAGTCCACCCATTAAGCTGTCATGGGTGGGTCCTTGAGGAGTCTGGAGACTCTAGTGTGCCTATATGGAATGGAGTTAATGTTGCTGGTATCTCCCTGAAGAATCTGTGCC